CTGCCGGTGTCTCTCTGCTGGGGACTGTTTCTCGCCCTGGCTCAGGCAGGGTGAAAGAGTGCTGAGCACCTGAGTGTGAGGTTGCAAATGGCACAAAGTTTTACCCTCTCTCTCCCCAACGCAGATCATGTCATCAGTCGCGGCTCTGTGGAGCTTGGCATAAGTATTGCTGCACTCGCTGTGCTTGGCCCTGGGGACCTCTATCTGCAACGCAATGCACGGCCTGTTTGTGAGGCTGGAGAGCTAGTCAGCATGGGCTCCCTGCTGTGCAGGCTGCACTTTAGCCTGAAGAAGGGCTGAGCTTGAGTCCTGCCTGCCTTGGGCTATGGCCCTCTATTCTTGCTAACAGATTGGGGTCTAGGTGGCTGCAGCAAGCCCGTCAATGCCCCAGGGTGACTGTGTTGCATCAGATTGGTACAGGGCTTGAAATGGCAAACACCTGAGATGGAGAAGAACCAACAGACTGTTTCCAGCAGGATGTAGCCCTGGAAGGGGGCTAGTCTGGAGCTCAGATTCGTGCTGTCAGCTTTGTGGATCAGGAAATTTAATGGAGGAGTGTCATGGACTCACCTGGAAGAGCCACAGACATACAGAGCAGAGACAGAAGCAGCCTGGGAAATGGCTAGGGTTCCACAGTGACCCAGCAGCAGGAGGAGATGGGCGGATATTTGAGACACCAGTGTAAAGCAGTGAGCTTGCAGTGGTATGCCTAGTGTTTCGTTTCATTTCTTTCTGCTTCTCCCCATCCAACCTCTTCTGCTTTCTCTGAGTTCAGACCCTGTCTTCCCCGGATGGCTGAAGTGGAGCTGTTGGCATCCTGGCAAGAAACCAGGTCATCTACAGCCTCTGAGCACCCTTGTGACTGAAAAGTGCCACCACCCATGGCGGGGTTTGCATAGCGGCTGGCATGACACGCTGTGCTCTGTCACCAGCCCCTGCCTTCCCAAAAGCCTCTTTTCTTATCCACTTGAATCAATAGTTCTCACAAAAGCTACCTGCCTGGTTAAACATTGCCCTGCCTTGTTCCTGCAGAAAAGCTGATCTATTTCTACTCTGGACTCTTCTGAACCCAGTGGTGTCAGTGCTTCCACGTCACAGCTGGGGAGAGTGGCTGCGCAAAGTGATAGTATTTGCTCAGGGCTCAGTCACGGCACATTGACTTTTCAGTGAAATTCCCCTGCTCATCAGCCCTGTGGAGCTATTCTGGGGAAGGGCTGCCCAGCTGCTGGAAACAGGGCGATGACCAGGGGTTCACTGCTGGAAGGGGCTGACAGTGTGTCCTCTCCCTCTCCACTCCCAGTCTGGATCTAGGGTGTGGGAGCCAGTCCTCTTGACTTTGAGCGTCTGCAGTGCTTCTCAAACCACCGCTTAGTTCACAGCACTGCTTGTTCCTCATCCCCTTGGAGGGAATCATCTCCCCACTGTGATGGGGGCATGAGTGCGTAGAGCAGGGCCATGCTCTGCCAGGGCCGTGGTCAGTACCATGTCAAGCAGTACATTGCAGCATTGTGGTGCCAGATCCAGAAGCCAGTCTCACCTCCATCAGAGTTTCGGGAGCTGATGCAGGAAGGGATTCCCTCAGCCTCTGGTGGTGACTGTGGTGTTTAGGAGTAGAAAAGAAAGCTGTTAGCAATGGGCTCTATTGCTCACCTTAACAGCTTTCTGCGCTCTGAACTGGAGCAAACTGGTCAACTTGGGAAAAGGGTCTGTGAGCTGGAGCCTTCCCAGCCTGTCCCTGCTTGCTGCTAGGTGGCTCTCAGCATTGCACGTTCCTCCTGCCCAGCTAAATGTTGCTTTTGCTTCCCTTCTCCTGGAGGGTGCCCCTGCCTGGCAACTCCTATCTCAGCTCTCTGAGCCACATTTCAGGGTCTTAGGAGTCCCATGGCTGCGTGAGGGGAGCTGGAAGAGAGCAGCTCAAGCTACCTGGACTTCCACACAGGTGTGTGGCAACCAAGGGATACAGTTCTTGAACAGGCTGTTTGGTCCACTCTTAGGGAAGGGACTCTTTGGGAGGAGGAGAAAGGGAAGGGAGTGTGGCTCTGAGTTAGCAAATCACTCACGTGTGCAGAGTTGAGCACCTCCGGTTCTTGTGGTGTCCCTTGAGAGTGCTTTGGTCTTGTGGTAAGGGTTTGAAGGGTCTGGTCTTTGTGGTAAGGGAGAAGCCTCTGAGGAGGCTACTCCCCCTCCAAACAACATGACTCCAGCGCTCTAGAAGTCTGTCCTGATATCCTGCCTAACTTCCTGGTGAGATCCAAGAAGCATCTGCCAGGGACGTTTTCAGCTGTGGCTGGCTCACCTCTGCAGCCCGTGTGAGCCACCTGCTCCCCATGCACCTAGGATGATCCTGAAGGAGGAAGGGGCAAATAGATCTGAGTTCTGGAAAAGCAGGCTCCCTGTATCCAGTCTGTTGTGGAGTCAGGGAGCTGTGGTACCTTGGCGTCCAGAGCCTCAAAAAAACTGTCATTGGATCTGTTTCAGGAGGCCCTTGGCCATTTTGTGCTCAACAAACGTCTGCTGATGCTGATGGTAATTAAAGACTGAGATTTCCCAGGGTGACCTGGATGCTCACAGGCACAGATCCCTGGGAGACTGGGTGCCTTTCAGACTTGTAAACCCATGGATGGATGAACCTGAGTGCGGACTTGAGAACTTGGTCTGTATATATGACATGGTATCCCATAGCACTGCTATAACTGGGCAGGCAGGATGACACTAAGCCATGTGAGACCCAGAATTGCATAGACTAGCTCTTCTAAAAAGCTCCTTTCAGACATGACTTGCTCCATTACCACTGCTCCCTTGTGCCTTCCCTTCCTTGACAGAAGTACAACACAGTATGACTATCTCTGCCAGTGTACAGAGAGGGTTAAACCCTGTCAGAGTGGGGGCTGAGTTCCCCATGCAGTGCATGCATTGGTGGCACTGGACTGCTTTAGTGTTTTGTTCATCCTCCTTCGATTTGCTGAGTAGAGAAGGTTTGCTGGGAATGCATAGGTCAGTTCATGTAGGGTTAAGGCTCTGGGGCTGGCTGCAGCAAGATCTCAACTCCTGTATGTTTTCTGTGCTCTGCAGTCCAGTCTCTGTGTTGGGCATAGGAGAACTGTGTATGACATAGTGCTGGCCTATGGTTGTTGGGGATGGGGATTCTCAAACAGAGAGCAGATGCAACAGGGAAGGAGCAAGAGGGCAAGGCAGAGACCTGTGACCAGCCTTTGCCCTCAACCCCTGACCGTCTCCTGCACGGAATGAAAGCCTCAGGGCATGAGGTCATAACATACGAAAATTTTATTTTATCCTCAGGAGGAAGGTTACACAGAACCACTCCTACATGACATCAGATATTTTACAGAGTGCAGTATCAAAAATGGAAAAAAAATATATTGGAGTTACACAACATAGCCATATGTACAGTTCTTAGCGTATCTTCAAGATAGACCTGTTCCTTAGGCCTCCTGCTCCTCTACAATCTCTACAAATGGCTTTTTGCATGACAGGCAAAATAGCAGAGTAACTCATTCACTCTTGACTCATTCCTTGTGCGGCAAAACTGAAGGAGGAGGAGGACAGGCCTGAAGGGGGCTAAATGGATGCAGGAAGGAGAGCAGGCACATTTATGTATGTTGTTAACAGCTACAGGAGGGCTTTGCTGGCAAGTGGAGGAGATGATGTCCCTGCTGAAGGAAGCTACACTCACCTGATCTCATTCCTCGGTGGGGCTTACTTCTCTGCACAGGTCACAAAGGAAGCTGAGGAAGATTCGAATCCTTATGCTACTCTGGACAAGGCGGGCTGAGTCTGCTGCTAGAGCAACTCGGACACACGCAATAGACCAGAAGAACTGTGAATGAACTCTAGACACTATCAGTAACCTGTAGACTAGCAAGGTCAATGGTCTTAAACACAACTAAAAGGAACTTGACTTCTGTGACAATGGATGAATCGCCATACAAGACTGTCCTGGCCCCCTAGAAGAGGTTAAACACCAAGGAAGGGCTGCAGGCATGTTGGCTCCGTTCTCACAGCTCTCAGTGCCAATAGTTCCATTTTCTCCAAAATGCTTCTGCTGAGAATAAATGTTTGTTATGTACATGTCTCCTGTCATACTAGCAAATGTGATGCTGTCTTGTGCGTTGGAGAACTCTCCTTAGGAGTTGTACTGTGGCTAGAAACCACCCCCAGATCTGGTCTAGGGGAGGACTGGAGAGGACTTGAGGTGATAGAGATGATGAATAGGGAAGGGAGGCAAGGTGGTTGCTGGATGTGAGGATGACACTGAGGACAAACTCTGCTCCCCATTCCTGTGTCCTTTGTGGGGTGCCCACCCCCACATGGTGGGTAGGGTAGCCCATTTGGGTCGGTGCCATCTCGGTAGCCTGATGGCATAAGGTCTCCAGGCATGGCTGAAGGTTAGGGCTAATGTGGAAACATCCTAGCATTCCCAGGGCCAGGTGGAGCATCACTTGAGATGTCATCAGGCAGGGACATTTGTTTGCAAATAAAAAGACTGGCAAGCCTCCAGTGCTCTCTCTCTGCTCCTCACAAGAAAATGCCATCATGCAGTGTGGGGGACCAGTGAGGCCCAGGCCTACCCAGCTGAGTTTTCCACATTGTCCTCAGCCCCTGTTGCTCCTGCGGTTACTTCGTCTAATGGGAAGAGCTGATGTGAGACCTTGGGATGTGGGGGAAATTCTCTGTGCGTAGCCTAAGGCTTAGGTGGCAGGAAATTGCCTCCTCCATCACTCTGCCTTGGTCACGGCTTGGAGGGAGCCTCCCTGGGAGCATGGGCAAGTTTAGGAGCCCAACAGTACGAGCTAAGGAAGCTAGCTGAGATCTGTCCCTTTGTTGCCCTCCCCCAGCTCCCTAGCAAACATTTCCAAAGACTACAAGCAAAGGGATGTGGGACCAAGCAAAACACATGACGTGGAGGGCTGACAAAGGCGTGGAGTGTGGCTGAGCCACTGTGTGGATACTGCTTGCGAAAGACCAGAGTCTGGAGCATTTTAAAAAACAACAACAACAACAACCCCCCCAAAAGCAGCAGCAGCAAGCTGCTTAGTCACTCATCTCTCCAGCTCAGGGTCCAGAAATGTCCACCTCTCGGAGGAGCCGGTTTTTTTCTCCACCCAGTCCACATAGTTGGAGACTTTGGTGTACACACCATACACCTGTTTGCTGCCGCACTCCTCTGGGCCACCCCATGAAACCAGCCCTTGGGCCACCCACCTCCGGGTCCCTGGATCTTGAATGACAAAGGCTCCCCCACTGTCTCCCAAGCAAGTGTCCTTCCCACCTTCATAGTATCCGGCACAGAACATGTTCTCAGTAACGCTGTAGTTCCCCGACCGGGACTCGTAGCTGGTCTTGCACTCTGCATGGAGCACCACTGGGAGTTTGACATACTGCAGGATGTCAGACAGTGTCCTCATGCCTGAGCTGATGATCTCGTCCACGGTGATGTTGGGGTTGGAGATACCCCAGCCAGCCACCAGCCCTAATGTGTTGGGGTGAGGCCCCTCCAGCTCATGCTCAAATTGAGGCAGGCAAACCGGCATGACATAGTTCCCCATGGTCACCTTCTCCTTCAGCTTGACCAGAGCGATATCGTGGTTGTAATTCTGGATGTCAAACTCCTCGTGGAGGATGATCCTCTCTACTGTCCGGTTGACAGCATGCATCTTGTTCCTCACATCATGGAGGGCAAGGTAGACGGTGACGTGCTCCTTGGAGACAGGGATGACGGTCTTGTCCCGTCGCTGTGAGCGGAGCACGTGGGCGGCTGTCAGCACCCAGGAGTCTGAGAGCAGGGCCCCGCTGCCAAACCATTTGTCATTGGGCACCCGGGACATATCCTCTACCACAATCAGGGCCTGCCAGGGGAAGAAGCCAGGCTCTGCGTTTCGCCCTCCAATGATGCGCTTGATGATCCCAGGCAGAGCACGAGCTGGCCGGCCACACACTGGAGACAAAAGGAATAGAACAGTTACTCCCAGCTGAGCAAGCACTTATCTAGGGAACAGCTGAAAAGGGACATCTGTGTAGATTATGCCACATGGATGGTTATCTTCATAGCCAAATGCTCGCTTATGTCTTTTTTTTTCTGTAGAGGACAGCTCTCCTCCTTTTCCTGGTGGATGAAGCCTATCCTCTCTGCCATCCTCACCTTCTTTTGGCAGAATGCACTTAAGAGCTTGAAGCAGGCTGGGCACTGCGCCCCATCCCCTATGCTAACAAGTCCTTGAAGGTATGTCTGGGAAGGGAGCATGTCTGTCCTTCTCCAGTGTTTTGCTTCCTAAAGGCAGCCTCGGCTCCCTTTGTGTCTCCCTTGCCTGGTAGGACCATTTCTATTGGCCATGGCTTGCCTCTCCTTGGAGAGCGGCAGCGTATTGCTCTTCCACAAGGATAAGGGGGTGACACTTGCAGACCCTGTTAACCCCTACTGCTACGCAGGGACAAAGAGGACAGTCTGAAGCCTGCGTGGCTTGTACAGTTACTTCTGTGATCTAGGAGCCACCCTGTATTTCTCTAAGCCTGATGGCTCAGGCATGAGACTAGGACGCCTCAGTGCTAGTGCTGCCTCTGACACAACCTGCTATGTGACATGGAACATGCCTCATCACTCTGTTGGTTTGAGCTATTTCTGCAAGACTTTTGGCACGTGTAGCATCTTTGTTGGCTCGCAGCCAAAGGAAAATAGGGACCTTCGGAGCCTGCAATACCTTCATGGTGGGACAGAGGGCCTGAACTCCCCCTATATCTCTCCAGGGTGCACACACCCTGAAATGTGGCTGTAAGGTTCCCATGGTTATGGCAACCTGCCTAAAATAGGCCATTTTTCAGCTGGCAACGAGACAGGATCAAAATCAACCTGAGCCACTAGTCTCCCATGCCAGAGCAGGGAAAAGGTGGCATCTTTGGAGCTGGGAGCTCCCTCTGGCTGCTGTCCTGGCTCTGTGGAAGTCCATCCATTCCTCATTTTGCAGTTTGGTTTCTGGAGTGATTTGTCTGGGTCTGCATCACTTCAGAAACAGAAAGGCAAAGTGAGTAATCCTGCAACCTCACGCTCTTCTGTGAGTTTGCTCAACCCCTCCCAGACCATCCTGCCGCTTGCCCGGCTCCTGCTTTCCATGTGCCAAGAAACCCAGAGGAATGTCGATGGGAGGACTGGAGACTTACGTCAGCCTAGCCCAGCCCAGCCTCACCCCTCGCTCTGGGGCCTGTCACGAGGTCCCTGTGGTCCCAGGGCTGTGGCATTCAGGCTCTCAGAGGAGTTGTGGCTGGAGAACGCCTGGCTGCGGGATGTTGCTTAGCACCACGGGCTGCTCTCCCTCCCTCTTGAGTCCTGGCCCCCCCCCCAGCCTCTCTCTGCTCAGCTCCTTGGCAGACTTCGAGTTAATGTCTGAAGAGCCCCATGTGCTACCTGGTTTGCTTCTAACCATCTTAGCCAGGCCCTGCAACCTGGTGTGAGGAACAGGAGGATTTCAGCATGCTGAAGATAGCTCTGAAAGGGTTGGACTAGGCAGGCTGGACAATGACACGGAAGGTCATTGCCCTTCCACACCTGGAAAAGCCCCGAAATCCCAGCAGCACAGGTGTGTTCTGGGAGGCAGGTGGGAGGGAGCTGGGAGGACCGCTATCACCCCTCTCGGCCCACAAAGGGAATCCATGTCCTCCCAGGAAGGTGCCCTGACGCCCTCTGTGCTCCCTTGCCAGGGATGTGAGGCTGCAGAACCACACAGAAAAGAGAGTCTGACCCCCCAGGGCGATGGTGTCGGGCCTGTGGGCCAGCCTTGTAATCAGTTAAGCAGAGCTAACACTGATTTGTTGAGGCTGGGATTTGCTGCTAGGAAAACTGTAACTCCCACAGGCGGCATGGGAGTGTGCTTCTCTGTGCATTTAGCTCCTCTGCCTTTCCCAGTGCTGCAAGGAATAGGAAACATGCTTAGGCAAATAATTCCTGTGTCCCAGCCCAGCCCAGCTGTTCTGCTGCACCAAAGCTGACAGCCATCCCAGCGAGATGATTTTAGAGGAAGCGCATCCAGCCAAATATTTATTCTATTAAATTACATATCAAAAACGCTGACCAGGCTGCAAATGCTCCCACTAATGGCAGAGGCAGGCGCAGAGTGGCCTAGAAGAGGAGTTCCTACTGATAGCGAGGTAGCGTGAGACATGAGAAGATCTGAGGAGCAGCTGGCCAGCTGCTGCCTGCAGATCCCAATCTCAGGAGAGCGCCACCCTCTCTCTGGGATTTTCCATTTTTCTGAAGTTTCTCTGACTTCTGTCACTAATCAGGAGGGCTGGAAACGGCTCATGAAAGCAGCTATGGCCCCAAAAAGACGTCCCCATATGCTCCCAGCCCAAATTGTTTCAGGCTGAAGCATCAAGGAGGGATGAAGGGAGCAGCCCCTGAAATGAGCAACCACAAGCCTGGTTTCTGAGCTCCATAGGCACCAGGGTATTTCATGGGATCCTTCCTCTGGCCTTGGGATCACTTAACACAGCTGGACACTCTGCAGTACCCACTATGGGGCTGAGCCAGGTCCTGAGCCCCTGGGTACGGGGGGGGCTGCAGTTGCTGCGCGGCAGCTGAACCCCTATGACTCTCCAGAGAGGAGTCCCTGCACATCAGACCACAGCGCTTGTAACCCACACCTGGGGCTGCTGCCAGCTCCCCCCTGCCTGGCAGCCAGACCGGCTCCATGCTCAGCTAGGGCCAGCCAATGTCCCAGGGACTTTTGTTTGATCCTAAGTGGGCGCTTGGCCTGGAAACTTGCTGGCTGCAAACATTTCTGCCACTACTCAAAGGCTTAGGACTTTTCCTCCCTTGTGAACCAGCAGGCTTTTTCTGCAAGGCTTGGAGAGGTGCTAATTACTCCTGCATGCAGACACACTGCTAATGGGAGCTGACAAGTAGCAGCACTGGGCAGGTAATGCTCTGCCCTTGGCTGCATGGCGTGTGCCACCTCTGGTGACTCTCGGCTGGCTGTGGCCAGCAGGCTCTGCTCTGGGTGCTGGGGCTGCTGGTTTCCTTCCTCTGCTGGATCAGGATGCTCGGAGCCGCCTGGGCAGCCAGGATGGCTGCAGGACCCCTGCTGCCTGAGCCCTGGCCCTGCATCACCACAGAGACGCCCTTGTCACTGCTGCTCAGAGGCACCCTCTGCACCTTGGCCATCCGGAGCCAGCACCCAGCAAGCCAGGATAGTAGGAGGCCTGTGTCCCCGTCACTTTCTTGGCTATACGTTGCAACCACAGGCAGGACACGTATAGCCCATGATACTAGCGTGGCATGGTACTGCTGCTAGAGAGCATGGTCCTTATCAAGAGAAGCACCGGGTCATGTTAGGCACAGAGACAGCCCTGTCCCTGCACATCTCCCCTCTGCACCCCTCACTGTGGTACCAGCCACACTGCTCTCACCCCAGCCCCTGGTACCTGGTCGGCAGGATGGCAGCTTGGTCCCCAGCTCCTCACTCCTCCACACCCCCAATGCATCACAGGTGTAGGTGGCTGGAAGAGAGCAAAATGTTAGCTAGGTTGTGGCATGTGGGGCATGTGGCTTGGTGGGGGGGGGTGTTCTTCTGGAGTGAGAAGACTTTGCTCAGCCATCAGGGCCCTCTGAACACTTTTCTGGAGCAGGATGTGACTTCCCTATTAAGTCCTCTGTGCTCCTTTCCCTGAGGGGTCCTGGCAGTCCTGTCTCTGTGTGAGGGGCATGCAACCACCCTTGGTGTCATTGCCCTGAGGCCTCTGGAGGGCTTTGCTCTGCCTTCAGCCTTGCCTAGGAGCTGCTGTCCCATTAATGCTGCTGGTGCCCGTTACACTAATACATGCTGGATGCTCGGGACCAGATGCACAGGGCCAGTGGTTTTGCAGGGGGATGTGAGCAGGGACACTGGAATGGGAGGAAATCCTTTGGCTTTCCTTGCTGAGGGAGGAGGAGGAAGGAGGGCTGGAGAGTAAGCTTGGGCTCTGTGAAGCCCCTCCTGCTATCAGAGCTGGGTCTGAAGGGTGCAGTGACCTGTGGGACTTTGCGAAACACCTTCTGGTGTCTCTGTGGTTGTGGAGCGGAGGGATAACACGAAAAGTCAGCCTGCTGTGATCCCACTGCTATCTGCTTCTCTTGGCTCTCTTGGACATTTGGCTGTTGGGACAGGGGCTGCGGACCTAGGCAAGGCTGCTTTGAGCGAAAGGCTCTGCTTAAGGCTCTGCAGCAGCTCTGGGCCCCAGGCACAGCTGATGGATCTGGCTGCCCTGTGCATATGGCGAGCGTTTGCCACTCTTCTCTGCCAAGGCTCTGAAAGACATGGTCAAAGAACCATACAGTGCCAACTCTGTCCCACCTTGCTGCAGAGCAGGATGAGGCCAATCTGACACCCACTAGTAGTGCAGATGCAGGGTACATGTATATCGGTTATATGCACAGCCTGCTGCTTGCAGTGCATACCAGGCAGCCAACACACCCACCCGCACTGTGCTGGGGGTGGGGGGGGCACAGCCCTGCCCCACTGCTCACCGGTGCTGTTGGGTGCCATGTGGTAGTAGGGGTGCTGGCAGTGGTACTGGATGCCTGCCCCGTAGGTGGTGAGGTTGTTCCTGGAGGAGAAGGTGACAAAGCCATGCTCCAGCTCCAGCGGTGCTTTGCAGTCAGCAACTGAAAGTCAACACAGAAGGGAGGTTGAGCACCACGCCGTTTCTCAGGGTGCCTTGCCAGCAGGCTGCTAACGCTGGGCTTTAGCACACCGCAGCGGTCCTACGGGGAGGCCTATGTATCCCCTGTTCAGGGGAACGCAGGCAGTGCAGCCTGACATGCTTCCCCCTTTGGCAATTTAGTCTGCCTCAGGGGGCAGCTGGAAGCAGGCCAGCTCGACTCCTAGCCACCAAAGGACCATCTAACTCTCTACTCCTCTAATGTCTCTGTTTGCTTGGCTGCCTCTGCACCCTGCAGCAGGGAGTCTCCTCAGCTCCCTCCACACCGTCTGGAAAGGCTGTGGGGCTCCCTGAGGAGCGGAGAGCTGCTCCCTCTCCACCTTCACTGCCTCTCAGGGCATCAGGAGTCACCTCTGGCCTGCTGCAGAGGAGCTTAAGGGCCTCCAGAACTGTGCAGGGGAGGACATGGAAAGCCTCAGGCTGTGCCTTTGCTTAATTTAAGGTCTTGCCTCTCCTATCTCGCATAGGAGGCAAGCTCAGCCTCCTCTCTGCTCTCCAGGAAGGTGGTGGAGGAGATCCCAGCCCAGCTGAAGTACAGAGGTCCATTTCCCAGCTCTAGCCTTCTCCTCCAAGCCACGCCCCCATTGCATTAACCCCACCAGGCCTCCCAGTGCTCCTGTCTGTCCCCTGTCCACGGGCAGGGCTGCAGGCCCCTCACTGCCTGGCCCCATGAAATCCACCATCGCCTCCCTGCAAAGATGGGGCGCATGGGCAGCACTGCTGAACACCAGCAGCATCCCCCAGACTGCAGCTGACACCACGCATGCCGGTGGAGACCCTGTGCTGGGAGCCCCTCCTGAGTTCTGCGTTCAGTGCGAGATCTTTCTGTTGAACCTTTGAGAGGGGAAGAAACTGCACAGGCAGGTAAGAACCTTTAGCGGATGCTCTGGGAGTATGTCTTTGCATCACCTGCTAATGGGCAGGAAAAAGCACACAGCGATTTACTGTCCCATGCATCGGTGGACTCCTTGGAGTGCCAGGCTTTGCCAGCAGCACAGCCCCATCCCTCCCGTCCTGGGTCTTGCGCACCAGGCAGTGCTGATCGGTCCTTACAGCTCAGGCTGAGCAACCCCAGGTCCTAGCTGTCCTGTGATGGCAGGAGGTGAAGGACAGAGAAAATGTGGCTTGGCTACTGTGCAGATGTCGGGGGGAAATGAGTAGACATGGGGAAGACCCTACCTGCTCCATCCCAAGCACATGGGCAGGTTTCACCCTGCTTCACCCACCCCTGATGTGGGCTCAGGGCCTGGTGGAGGGAGAAGGATTTCCGGGTGCTGTTGCCTTTCCCATAGCCTGTCCATGATCCCCTTCCTCTCCCAGATCCTTCACAGAGCTCTCACCAGCCTCTCCCCCAGCCCTTTCCCCCAGATCAAGCTTGTGCCACCCACCCTGAGAAGGATCCCCTATCTGTAAGATTGTTCTGCCAAAGCCAGGAGTTGCTCCGTGGGTGCCCCGTGGAAGCTGCTGACTACCTGTGGTGTGAGCGGTTGGCAGTGCATGCCTGGGTGACGCTGTGCAGCCCCTCCTGTCCCTGTCCTGGGGGACCATCCCCTGTGAGAAGGCAGGAAGCTGGCTCCAATCCTGTCTAGGAGATGCAGCTGTGCTGAGCTAGACCCTACCATTTTTAAGATGAGGGGTTGAGTAGGGCATGAGGGCCTTTGCAGGGAGCAGATCCTGTGGACCAAGGATGATGTGAACTCTGTGTGGCTCTTCTACTTGCTAGAGGGGTGGAGAGGTAGTTAAACAGGACAGGGAGCTGAGGACAGGAGCCCTAACTCCTCATGCAGTGATCCAGGCTGACCAAGAGGAAATCACCTAGAAGCAGCTGCCAGCCCCATGGACTTTTACCGATGCTCAGGGTTAGCCACCTGCCTGTGGGAGAAAACTCTGGCTTACGACAAAACGCTGCAGCCCACAGTTTTCCAGGGTCCTAGTTGACAGGGACAGCAGGCGATGGGAGATGGGTGCATGGGTGCAGTGCAGTTGGGAGGAGGCTCTTGCAGAGAGGCAGAGGAGAGGGACGTGGACCCCCACTCACTAGTCCTCCTGGGTCCTTGTCTGGCTTGAGCTTTCCTGCTCTCTGTGCTCGGGAGCATGGTGCTTTGGGGCTGTGGGCCAGCAACCACAGGAGCTTTATAAGGTGCTGGAGGATGCTGGGGCTTGCAGGAAGGAGGGAAGTGATATTCAGGGACCACTCCAGCTTGCAGGTTCTGCTCTGGGGCTGTTTATGGCTGCAGGGGGTAAGCTCATTAATGCACATGGCTTGTTCCCTACCTGTGCGTCGAACAGGCCTGGGGGAGGCCTGATGCCTGGAGAATGGTCTCTTGCACAGATATGTTGCCCCCCTCCCCATATCCTGGGTCTTGCCCGGAGGGATAGGAGAGCAAGTTTGTGCCTTCAGACCATTCCAGACTTTTGTCTTGAGAAAGGGGCTATTTAGTGCCAAGCTCCCCAGTGCACACCAATCCCTCCTCTTCCAGCTGCCAGACCACATCCCAGGTCCCTCCCAATGAGGCCCCCTGATGCACCCCAGGGCGCATGCCCTGGGACATGGATGAGGACAGACACATGGCTCTGATCTCCTCCAGCTGTGACCAGCCTGATGCCAGCTCATCCTTTCCTCTGCCAGGCCAGCAGGAGGGAGCAAAGGGGGAGCTGGGGAGAGTATCCCCCCATGCCCTGGTGCTCATGCTCAGTGCCCTGTGGGTGAAGGCACGCAGCTTCTGATGCCAACCTGTCCTCTGGGCCTCCCTTGCACGGGAAAGGTCTGCAAGGCACCAGGACGCTCGGAGAGAGGAGAGGAAGGAGTGTTTCTTATTTGTGATGCTGGGCCAGAGAGGAAGGACAGCGGGAGGTTAAATCCAAACAAACAAACAAACAGGCAGCCGTGCGCCGGGGTGGCTGTTCCTTGCGTAACTGTGATCTTTGAGGGGAGCAGAGCCGGGCCACAGCGTCGGAGCGGAGCCTGAGGGATGTGGAGGATGTGGCAGGGGCTCGCAGGAGCACCTGGCCCCCAAGCAGCGATGCTGGGGGCCGAGCAGGCACCATTCGTGTGAGACAGAGGGAAAGGGAGCTTGATTCCAAATTTCTTTCCCCCCTCTGGAGCTGGAGCTGGAGCTGGAGTTAAGGGAGCACCAGGCGTGGAAGGGTTAAGAGTGCCATGCCAGTTAGACAAGCTGCAGAGATGAATTTGGCAGCTGGGCCTGAGACAAAGAGAACCTGCCCTGGATCCTGGACAGATCGGAGAGGGGCACCGAGACAGGCTGCCGTTTCGGCGGGGCGGGCCGCGCCACCCCCCTGGCCCCCAAGCAGCGATGCTGGGGGCCGAGCAGGCACCATTCGTGTGAGACAGAGGGAAAGGGAGCTTGATTCCAAATTTCTTTCCCCCCTCTGGAGCTGGAGCTGGAGCTGGAGTTAAGGGAGCACCAGGCGTGGAAGGGTTAAGAGTGCCATGCCAGTTAGACAAGCTGCAGAGATGAATTTGGCAGCTGGGCCTGAGACAAAGAGAACCTGCCCTGGATCCTGGACAGATCGGAGAGGGGCACCGAGACAGGCTGCCGTCTCGGCGGGGCGGCCAGCGCCAGCCTCACGCCGCCACTTGCTCCGAACTGGCTCTTCTCTCTGTCTGGTTGTCGGCTCTATCTGCAGCTGCGCCGAAGGCAGAGGGGAAGGAGGAGAGCAGAGAGAGAGAAAGCTGAATTAGTAGACGAGCAGAGAGAGGCATGCAGGAAACCCAGCCCCCAAAACACCAGAAATCGTTAATGAGTGACCCTATCGCCCTGGCGAGCCCTGTGGGGCGTCGCGGGCCCCGAGCTGCGGTGCAGTCGGTGCCATGCTGGGGACCCTCTCCGACTGCTCCGCTGCAGCGACCTGGGGCAGGGGCTGGGACAAGCCGTCATGGGGCTGGTGTTTTCTCTCGCCAGGCCGTGGAGCTGGATTTTATCCACCTTGGCTGTGAAGTTATCCATTTTTTTCATTTCTTTCTAAACCATTTTTGCTCATGCCTTGCCTCTCCCAGACATTCAGGGGAGGTGGGAGTCATTGCAGTTTGAAAGCCTGAATTGCCCAGTTAGGGGCTTCTTGGCTTTCCAAAAAAGCCCTGGAATTTCAGTGTAGTGATTTATATCACACAAGAAGGGACCAGTTCCAGCTTGCCTGGGATAATGTAGATAAACATTTCAATTTTCTCCAAAAGAATAATGCTTTTTTGGGTTAAAAATATTTACCCAAATTTTTGTTCTTTCTTTCTAGCCAATGACAATTTTTAGCTGATCTCTGCTCAAGCAGAGTGCTGGATAAAATCCATAGGAGACCGCCGAAGTGAGAGGAGTAGGACAAGGGAGTTCCCTTTGCAGGGCAGAGACATCATTGACCCCATACTTTTTAAGGAGCCCTTCCACATATGAAATTATTTAGCAGGTCTAAGAGCCTCCTGTTTTCCATTTTGAGTGAGCAAACGCTCAAACACCAGAAATACTCTCCTAAGGTAAGATCCACAATATCATTAAAATAAAAAGGATCTGCCCTGATGGGAAGAGCCTGGATCCCACATCCCTTGAATGAATGCATCTATTCCTGCCTCTCCTGGAAGGTCTTGGGACCTTCTCTGCATGTGTTTGTTGCTTTCCTCTTCTTTGGGTCAGCCTTACAGAAGATTATGAGGATAGAAGTGAGTGTCTCCCCAAAGGCTGAAGGGTAACAGCATGTGTTTGGGGAAACGAAAGAAGCATTATCAGGTACACGAAAAGTGCATCTCCCAAGCTTGAGCTGAGAGAGAGGAACTGGGTTAGATGAAAGAAGAGATGATGCAAATCCTTTCAAAAGGAATCTCCTTTCTTCTCCCCCTTTACCCTTTTTGAGGTTTTTAAATATTTGGGCAACTTTCTCACCCCTTTTACTTAGCACTCGGTTTGGACTAGGGCCTGGGACCTCTCCAACGCGCTCAATCTTGGTGGGCCCATTTGGATGGAAATTCAGACCAGGAACCAGATTATCGGTGTCCAAGATTTATCTAACAGATCGGGCAAAAACCTTTTACTCACCTGGGACTGTCTATCTCCCTTCCTCCTCCAGCAGAAACCATTCATTAATGGGCATCACCACAAAGGCAGTTCGATGCGAGCTGTGCCCGGTTTTTGCAGTTAAATAGGCTCTGAGGAAGCCCTGACCAATGCTAAAGCTCTCGTGTTTTAAATGGGAAAGAGTCTGCCTAGTCTTCGCTCATACTTTGAGAGCCGGATTCAGTTCCTCCTGAAGTCATCTGGAGCCCCCATGACCTAAGCATCCTTCACACCATGGTGGACCTATCTCAGACAGTGCTGCTTCTGGCCCTGCTGCTGGGGAGCCATCTCTCAAGAGCCAGGTTGGCTTTTTTTTTTTTTTTTTTGACAGAGAGAGAGTAAAGCTGGTCACAAATCAAGTTATTTGGACCAAGCCCCATTATGTTATCCAAGGAAGAGCCAAAAGAGCTTTGCAGAGTTACGTAGCTGCTTTGGCTTGGTACACATCTCTGAGTAAAGGAACTCAGCTCTGGCAGGGCAGCTCCATTTAGCATGGAACAATTTCAGGAGAAAAAGGGCATTGGCAGGGTGGGGAAGGGTGTCCTTACTTTTGCAGACAGGGATCTTGTTACTCCATGTCCCGTCCTTTTGACATTCAATCTGGAAGGAGTCGCTTTCCAGGTTATCCTGTGCAGAAGATGCCAGTTAAAAATACCATCAACTGACTAGGCAAGGAAATGCTGCTCTCTATAAAAAATCAAAATTCTTGGTGATTTAGTCAAGATATATCCAGATTCCCTGGAAGAGGACTTTCAGAGTTAAAAATCATTAAAAAATCATAATAAGAGTTCAAAGAGTTTTCTTTTGCTTAGTACTAGCAGCTCAGTGGCATGCTGAATGCAGAAGAACTGGAGACAGTTATTCATATTCTGGGTGCTGGATTACTATGACCAGGAGTGGGTAAGGAAGCAGCTCTGCACAGAGGATGAGTCTGGGAGGAGATTAAAGGAATACCCAGCTCCATGTCGGAAGTCAAATCGGGCTACTGGTTTGGAGGGAAGACAGCCACCACGTGAGTCACTCGCACTCCCTGTGGTGCTCAGCTGTTTCCCGGAGATGGCCTGCCAAAATCCCAGCCCCCTTGACTTGCTGAAGCATTCACAAAGTCCCATAGGACCACCCGGCCAGCCGAGGCTGGCCGCCGGCACGCCTGGCTGCCGGGCTTCCCCGGAAGGCAAAGCAGAGCCCTCCGAGAGGGGGAGCAGGCAGTGTCCTGGCAGCTCCCCAGGGGCTTTTACTGACTTTTTCTCTCGCAGAGGTGCCAAGTCTTGTATCCTCTGAGCTGGTCAGCTCCAGAGGGATGCTGAGAGGATGTCTCAGAAAAGTGCCATTTCCTCTCTCCTCCTGCTTCTTTGGAAAGGAATGTTTGTGGCTTTCAGAGGAGGCTTCATACTTGCCCTGGGGAGGTAGGAAGGGTGGTGTGGGGATCATGTTCACTCTCCTAAGTGGAGATGCAATGGCTTTGGGAGGACCGAAAAGCCCCTGGTGCTCAGGAAGGAAAGAATCTTATTTTGGGCACACAGAGACAGGCAGATCAGAGGAGGGCAATGACTGGGTATTGCACATGCCTGAGAAGCCAGGGGAAGGACTGGGCTAGCCGGTGTAACAAGGCACCAGGGGATCCACTTGGCAAATGCTTACAAATTGGTAGAGTGAAATGGGGAATAGTCTTTCTGTGCCTGCTGTGGGTGCGACGAGGAGTCATAAATGCTATGTCAGAAGAGCCCACTCTAACAGTGAGAAAACTCTTCTAACAGTAAGGGTAGATGTGGCCAGGGAACATCACTCCCGAGTTTGGGAGAAAGGACCACCTACCCTAGGGATATTTGGAGACAGGCCATCAGCACACCCTTGGGGACTGAGCCTGCCTTGGGTCAGGGGATGGATTGCCTGGGTCCCTCCAACTATATGACACACATGTATCTTGCCTATGGTGGGCAGATCAGCTGATGGCAGCAGAAAAGCTAAGTGCTACTGGAGCCTGGCAAAGCCTAGTGGCAGTGTGTGATGATGAGTCACACCACAGTGCTTGGGTCTTGTTGCTTTAGAAGAGCAATCCTCTCTTAAACAAGGACATAGGGAACCTTGAGTCCCTTCAGTCACTTCAGAGCCCTATCCACAGAAGGGCTTTTGCTTTTTCAGAGATCTAAGATGAAAATATGAAGGACCCCTCCCTTCCTCCTGAGGCGCTCAGCTCCATGCTGTCACTCTTTACCTTCAGAACTTTGTATCCGGTGTTGCAGCTGATGACGATCTGATCTTTGAACGTGTACTTGGCTTGGGAAGGCTCGATTTTCCCATTGATTGGTGGTTGCACCAATGGGCATGGGTTCCCTTGAATAAAGAGCAAGTAAAGTAAAACAAAGCTCAGCTGAATCACTGGAGCAAACAGAGAATCCCAGCTCCACCATCTCGTCCCCTTGGCAGGGAAGCCCCCCTGCCCTGCTCTTTGCTATTAGCCTACGCTACCAGAGCTAGGCTGGGCTCTTTCCCCCCAAGGAGAGGAGGCTCCAGGTCTCTCCCTCAGTCCTGGGCTGCCCCTGGTTTTGGGTGTTACAGGCCTGGGAGTGAATAACAGTAGCTTGTGCAATTATCCTGCCCAGAACTGCATTGCTTTGCAATGTGCTCCCATTCCAGGGCCCAAACGGCATAGGAAGAAAAAGCGCCCTTCGAAGGGAGGTCTCCATGTTATTGTCTCCCTCTCTTTGTGTGATCTCTGGCACAAGTCCTTTCCAGAGGTAGGATCATGGACCACCAAACTTATACTCTCCACCTGCAGGGTTTACAAAATTCTTCGCCAGCCCCAAGCCTAGAAAATGGAGGGAAGCAGCAGGATTTACCAATTGCTGTGTACGACAGCTTCCAGCCCCTGTTCTCTCCTGAGTTGTCACTGTGGAAGAGGATCTGCACGCTGTTGGTTTGTGTTTCAATGCGTCCCGGGGATTTCTCTCCACAGAAAGGACCAAACTCCCTACGTCCAGCTTTGATCTGCCAGGGGAAACAAGAGTGGGTGGCTTGAGGAGGAGGCATAAACCCTGGGGACTCACTTCACCCTGAGGCTGATGGATGGGGACACTTCACTGCAGTGGGGTCACTGGGGCTTATGCACCATATGGTGATGGGATGTGAACAGCTTCTGGGCCCAGGACCAAAAAGAGGTCATTGCCTCAGAAGGGTAAAATCAGACGTAGTGAGAGACATGGGTTCAATCAAGCACTGGGCTCCTGCTGGCTTTATCATTCGCACTTAGACTGGGGCAATTTTGATTCTATCACCAGGGACCATCACCCAGTAATACTGGGGAAATGACAGGACGAGAGAGTAGGATAGGGGAAACACACAGAGCGCAGCTCACCTTGATGAAGTCATAGGGGCAGGTCACCTCAGGGTGGTCTTCCACGTCGAAACTGTCCTCGAAGCTCAGGGTGATGAAGAAGCCTTCCTCCAGCTCAATGCGGTACAAGCAGTCTGAGCTTTTGGGGTAGGGGCTGGGGAAGTCGGCGCTGGTGACCACCCCGCTCCTCTGGGTGAAGAGGTTGTCACTGCACTCCACTGAAACACAGCCACAGCTCGCTCAGCGCCCGGCCAGCCAGCACTCGGCCCTGGCCACGCTCAGGAGCCCCTATGGACTTGCCTTCCCAATACTTGGCTTCTCCTCATATCCAGCCACCCCATGCTCAGCCTGGGCAGGTGGCTGCAGAGAAGTCCTCTATGGTTTTTAGCCCCAGTACAGGGCTGAAAGGGCTGTTAGCTCTCCTATGACCTTGACTGGGATTGCACGCATGTTGCAGGCCTTGTGATAAGAGACATCTGGCTGCTTGACTCCCCCTCATCCCAGTTACAGATGCATCTGGCCCTTCCTGCACCCAGCTTCCTGCCTGCTCAGCCCCATAGCAGGCATGGAGTGGGGTCCGCTGGGTGGGTCAGGGTAACAGGGGAACCATGCTCATGGCTCTGAATATGGGTCCATACAAGAAAGACCCAACATAGCCATCTTCCAAACATGTCTTTGACATGGATTGTCCCAGGGCGAGAGCTAATCCCAACTAATCTACATCAGCTCATTCAGATTTAGAGCAGAAGCTAAACTTTTTCATTTCTCTGTCTCAAGTAGGTCTCTACTCTGTCTTGAGTAGTTGAGGAGCTCAGCCCATGGGGGAAACCACTTCTTCCCATGCAAGACGACAGCAGGTCTCGGGCACTGTCTAGTCCCAGGCTATCAACTTGTAGAGGAAGAGGCACTTTGTCCCTCCTGGGAGCAAGAGAGAGTAGTTTTGCCTGTGTTTTGAAGCTCTGTGGCCTGCTCAGGGCCCTCTCTGTGTGACCATCCCCATGTCCGAGCTGTGCCTGGACGTTACCTTTGCAGGTCCTGTTGTCAGAGTGGAGGATGTAGCCGAACCTGCAGGAGCAGTAGTACCCTCCGATGTAGTTGTGGCAGTAGTGGTCACACGCCAGCTCCTCGTCACTTTTCTCCAGGCACTCGTCCACATCTAGGGTGGACGGGGAAGAGACAGAAAGGAAAGGAGGTCACCCTGGGACCCTCTATATATCCCTCTCCACTGAGGCATTTGTCACAGGCACTGAGAAATCAGTTGTCCCACAGGGTCGATCACATTGCAGACATGGCAGGGTGGAGAAGGAGCAGAGGATCAGTGGAGCAGCTGGGAACAGGTCCTTGGCATGCAAGGTTTTGCTAGGGCACACAGCCACCAGTATGTCTCAACTCTACAGCCTCTCTACTGCATCACAAGTACCCAGTGAGTCCCCAAGGAGCAGGGGCTGGGCTGCCCACAAAGACCTCAACTTCTCTTATTGGGTCCCTGGAGGCAGGGGCTGGGATGTGATCCTAGCTGGGGGGACCCAAAGGGCAGTGAATTTGTTGCACTACCCTAGCAAGCTAGTCCTGGAGGCCAAGTGCTTCTTACCCACAGCTGTGTAATGGGCATCAAAGCCCGTGAAGCGTTCCTCGTTGGAGAAGTCGGACCTGAAGGTGAGCCCCATGTAAGGACCCGGGGACAGGATCACTTGTTGGCCGGGGGCCTGCTCTGTGTCTGTCGTCTCCCTGCCGCAGAAAGTTGCCAGCTCTTGGTCTTCAGTTTCAATCTGTCAACAGAAAGATCGATTTGGTGTTTGGCATGGCTCAGGGCTTGTTATCTGGGCTCTGCTCAGCACTTAGCTCTGTAGAGGAGCCAAGCCAGTTTGTGCGGTACTGGGCATGCCCACATCCTCCTGCTACCAGACTGTCAAGTAAATTTATGTGGTTTGGAAGAGCCTCTGGAGAGCCCTCTTGGTCAATGCTTTCACCTCAGCCCTCCAAACATAGCCACACTGGGGCTCAGGAGAGTACTCTAACCCATCGGTCTGCCTGGCTGCTCAGAGCCTTTTCCCCTCTGTGCTTTCCACATAGGAGGAGATAACTTCCCATCTGTACAAATCAACAGCCCATCAGCAGCCCAGACACTCAGGGCTGAGCTGGTGATGAGGAACCACAAGGCTTCGGAGAGCTCAAGCGCTGCACACTTTGCGCACCTTTCTTGGCCCCAGCTGTTCCGCTCCAGTGCAGTTCCCTTTCCTTTGCAACATCAGGTCCCCTTAGTGCTGCAAAAGCCAGCAGACTTGTCCCAGCCTCCTGGGGCTGCCTGGGATTTTCCAGCAGGTTGGAAGCGCAGCGTTTGACAGCTAGAGCCTAAGGACACATTGCTTCAATGCAGCGCTGAGCTCGGGCCTGCGCTGTGGTGCCTGTGTCCCCTGGCCCCCTTTACACCCAGCAGGGTTGGGATCCAGCCCTGGCACTGCAGACATGCAATTGCAGCACCTGAGCGTGGGCAGCTCTGCTCCCCAGGGCACCCTATCCCTCTCTGCCCTGCACTGCCTCAGCCCTCCCAAGGTGGGCTGCAGCTGGGTGATCCAGGGAGCCTGGGCACCTTTGGAAAAGCCATTTCCAGCCTTTTCCCCTTCACCTACATCCTGGGTGTAGAGAGTTGCTGGCAGTTTGTAAGGAGAGGGTGCAGGAAGGGATCCGGTTTGGGAGGTGAGGTGAGAGCGTGGGCAAATGCTGCAGAAGAGAGCGTGTGAAAATCAGCCCCAGGTTGTGTGATTCCTGCTCGGAGCTGCCGGTACCTGAGATGCCTCCTCCTTCCGCCCACTCATCAGTGCAGCAGCATCTGTCTGATGGCTGCAGGGCCAGGTGGTGGTGTTGGGAGGGTGCTTGGACCCCCAAGGAAACCCCCTGCCCCTTGACCCCAGGGATGCTGAGACAGGAAGCAGAGCAGACAACCAACTAGCAGCGCCGGTGTGAGAGCTAGAGGCAATGAGTACTCCGGGGGAACCAGGCATTAATCACTTCTACTTCAGATGTCTCATGCTCTGGGGTTGCTTGTCCTCTCTGCACTACATGGTCCCCATGCATGTCCCTGTTATCATCACCCCTGCCTGCTGGGAACAAGCCACGCATGGCCTCACTGCTAGCCTATTTGGAGAGGCCACAGCCCACGTCTCGTTTGCATCAGGTCAATCAGGTCTAACTTGCAATCAGCTCTAATGTGGATGGTGTTTCTGTCCCTCAGGCTGGGCTGCACAAGCTTGGTCCTGTCCTGGCTGTCCCTGTGTGTGTCCCTGCTGCTCAGGTCCCAGTCAGTCCCAAACGTGCAGCTCCAGGCACGTTGACTCAGAGCCACGTCCCACGGCCTGATGGGCGCTGGGAGAGGCTGACGGGCTAGTGTGCCCAGCTGCCATCCCAGGGCGCTCGATAGCCCCTATGTGCATACCTTTAAAGCATGGCCTTGTTGGTGCCTGGAGTCACTGCAATTGCTGCAGAAAACCCTCCTGCTTTCCCTGGAAACCCCCTCCCCTCCTTTTTCCTTGCCGTTTTCCCCAGGAATATTTCAGGTTTGAGTCCCTGTGATTCCATCTCGGTCTCCTGCTATCCCACCCCCCCCAACCCCCTTCTTGGTCACAACATCTCCCAGCTCCAGTGCCCAGCTCCCTGTCTGCTTTTCCCCAGGAGATTTGAATATGAATAACCCCTCGGCAGAGGAATGCGGGCTCCCTGAGCAAGCCAGCCTGCTGCCGCTCATGCCAAGCGGTGGCTATTGAGGCTGCGAGGAAGAGAGCAGCCCCCCGGCACGAAGAGCAGGGAGCCAGCAGCCGAAGCGCAGCGACTGCGGTGAAGCGTCTGCGGGGAAGCGGCCCGACTGGCTGGGAACCGCGCAGCGTTGCAAGGCCATCCCGGGTTTGCCTTGGCCTTGGTGATGCGACATCCCCATTGCGCTGCCGCCCTGGGCTCCCACAGCAGCCACCAGCACCTGGAGACCCTCCGGGCTGGGGCAAGAAGGGAAATTTCCTAGGGCTGAGCATACAGGCGGAAACTTGCTCATGCCAGGGAAAGACGACATGGAAATGGCAAATCAGCATGCCTTGACATTGCCTCCAGCTATTTTCCATACTCTCATACAAGCCACAGCTGGCCAGAAAAGAGAGAGACTTTCCGATGATAACTTTTGAGAATTTGGAGAAAAAACATGCGCCCCACATTGGGACAAAAACCTAATTCAATTTTGTGTGTGTGTGTAAAAGAGTTCTGAAAAAAACAAACAAATAAAAAGTAATTTGGGGTCCATCTGGTTTCAATCACATTAAAATATACTGTGGTGCTTTGGAATTTTTTTAAAATTTAAATTAAAGAACAGTTCGAAACGAAATATCATTTCAAAGTGAAAAACAGGAGCTGCCACCTCCAAAAGTGTAAAAAACTGGCATTTCAGCCACATTAAAAAGTGTACTGCTTTTCCTTCCCCGACGTGAAATCTCATCCGAGGCAGTGTGAATACAGGACACGCGGCATTTTTTGTCCCAAGGAGCTGTTTCCAGCCGTCTCCTCTATTCTCAGGCCAGCCCTGGCTGTCACCTCTGCCTGCAGGGACGCGTGAGTCGCGGCCGTGAACTCATCCCCTCCCCGCTGACCTGAAACCGCACCGGAGCCGCTGAGCAGCGGGATGCAGGGGGAGCGGCGGGATGAGGCCCGGAGAGCTGCAGCCGACGGCATCCACGGCCCCTTATCTGTGATGGGTCCCATGCCCCGAGACACAGGGAGCAGATACAGCCCTCCGGCAGTAAACTAAACAGAGAGGTCATCCTCCCTGGTTAATATTTGCTGCTGCTGCTGAGGACTGTATACTTTTTCGTAGATCATTTACATCCAGCGAGCAGGCTAGTAATTAAATCCTGGTTGTTTGTTTGGAATTTCTCCCTCCAGGGTCACGATGTCGACGTTTTCACTAGAGAAGATGTGTCCCTGAGGGAAATATCAATTGCTGCGGAGAAATTCCCTATAAAAATACGCTGAAAGAATCCTCCTTTGTAAAATAAAATATAGCGACACTCTTGTGCCTTAAATTTACCCTTACAGAAGCCAGACAACCAAGTGCCCCTGCCTCCTGCTGTCTTTCCAATTTCCGCTTTGCTCCCGGGCTCATTGTTCGGATTTCTCTCCCCAAGGAAATGGAAGGAGTCAGTGGTCCCTCCCCGAGCTGGGGCTCTTTCCCCTGCATTTTGGCTTGGACTGTGACTAAGGGGTTGGTGCGATGCAGTGGGAGGTGGTGAAAGAAGCTGTGCAGCCTTGGTGCCCCACGCAGGTTTCCCTGCTGGGACTGGGGGTCTGGGGCACCCCGGTTCAACCAAACGCTCGGTGAGGAGGAAAGCCTTCCCCAGGACATCAGCTGCTGCATCAGAGCAGCGGCACTTCAGAGATACCTCCTGCAACGGGTGAGTTAACGAAACTTCACAAACCCCAAGTGGAATTTGGCCTGGCGGCTTGATATCTGCCACCGGAAAAGAGCACGAAGCCGCAATAAGGAAATGCAGCCGCCACCCCCTCCCTCGGCCCTCCAGGAATGCACTAATTGGACTGATGAGGGCCAAACATACCACTTGTAATATATATAAATGGCTCATTAGGCAGAGAAATTGCAGTGCTGGGCTGAAGACACTGGGAACATGACATGGGGAGGAGATGCTCAGAGACAGGGAAGGGCACGGAACAGCCCCTGCAGAGTCGCCTTGCAGTTAACGTGCATGAAACAGGACAACACCCAGACTAATGGGGCTTTCGCAAAATGACTGGTGATGCTACTGACTGTTGGAAACAAGGCTGGGACGGGACAGCCCAAGCCAGGAGCAGAAGCCTGTGTCTTGGTTTCCCAGAGATCATCTCCCCAATATGCATGTGTCTTCTCCCCGATACATGTCCATTCTCTCACTGATCTGCTTTCGGGGTCCTTCAGCATGCAAACGAGCACCTGAATTCCCACAGCAACATGCACAGCAGCTCAGGACAAAGTGCTCTCACTGCAGCAGGACAGGGAGGATGGGAGGCTTCTCCTGCTGGGGACTTGGCTCAGCATTTCGAGACTGTCTCCTCCTGCGGTCTTGCTGTGCCCACATGCCCTAATTCTCCAGGATGCCTGAGCTGGGCTTGCTCCCTCCTAGGGTGTGTGAGATGGGATACCAGGGTTGCGATGGAACTGCTTGCTCCTTTCCCTGGCTGTTCATCCCACTTCCCATTTGGGGCTGCATCGGGGGTGACTGTGGCCCCTAACTGTGGGGGAGTGGCCAGTATCACCAGGCTCCTCTGGTCAGAGCTGTCATGATGGGAAATGCAGGCAGCAAAGCTCTTGGCTCTTCTGTCCTCCTGGCTGCCTCCGGGAGACTTGACATGCTCTGCTTGGGATCCTAAAGCCCCAGGGCCCTGATTACCCCCAGCTGAGCCTGGTCACTCCCCTCAGTTCATACCAAGCCCTGACTTTTTGTTTTCTCCCCTCCCGCTCTCTCTGAGCAGATGAACATGTAAATGGGACTGTCACGTGTTCCCCAGTGCCCCAGGCTGTGCATGGCCCCAGATGTGGCAGCAGGCTCCTTCCTCAGCCCCACTTAGCACTCCAGGGGCTGCAATGGCGCAGTGCACCCATAGTCTCTGCAAGGACCATAGTGCATGGCATGAGGCTGCGGTGCAGCATGCAGCCCTTCACTGGTGTTACCCAAGTGCTGAAAAGCAGGCAAATATGGGCTTCCCTCTCCATAGCCTTGCAGGCAGGAGATGGCAACCTCTGAGCCAAGGATGCTGCGTGCAATGCTGGTCTGTGACATGCCCTGAATGCCACGCCAAACTTTAGGGAGCTGCCGCTAAACTTTAGGGAGCTGCAGCTCCGTCACATCACAAAGCTGTCACAATTGCCCACGAGCTGCTTTCTGGAGCCGGGACATTAACCGCTTACTCTCCCTGAGCACTGTGTCCCCAGCGTGGCCATACCCGCTCTCGCCTTGCCAGCCTGACACGTGCTGGCTCCCTGCAAGGCCATGCTGCGTTGCCCAGACAAGGGGGATGGCAGTGACTTTGCCCATCTCCCTGCCCAGGGACAGCATTGGCTCCACCGCAGCCAGGGACGGAGTTGCGGTGGGCGCCCAAGGAACAGCCCAGCATGGCTGCGCTTGCGGGATGGAGGTTGAACGTATTTGCAGCCACCATTTTCACCTTAGCTCCATCCCAGGCTCCTGGGTGTTAGTACACACAGAGTCATAGGAGACCTGCTCCCTTATGTGAGCACCCAAAGGCACAGAGCCTCCCTGGGGACATGGGCTTGAAGGGCAGCTGCAGAAAAGTGCCCAAAGTGCCATACCTGGGCTGGAGAGGCTAGGCATAAAGGGAGATTTGTCCAAGGGAGGCCTCGGTCGGGTTGCAGGAGATGGGATGCATGGGACCCACAAAGCACCACAGACCCCCTCTGCCCTCCTCCATCATCCACAGTTGAATAGACCCTCTACAGGCAGGCACTGTGCTTGTAGGAGTGAAAGGAAAGCCTTATGGCATGTGCTGAAATCTGCCAGGCCTCAAGCACGTGTCATTTCTAACTGGGACCTAGTGGCAGGGCTTGGGATGAAGAAGGGTAACCCCACCAGGACTGTGAGCCTACAAGGACTCATCATAGGCTGACTGTAGGGGAATCGTCTCGCCAACGGCCCTGTCTTCATCTTCTTCATTCAAGATCTTGGTCCCAGCTGCACTGCCAAACCCTCAAAGGCTGTCAGGGCTTGACAGAGTATGTGCAAAAACACACAGATAGGACCTCAGGCTCGGTATCCCTGACCAGCTGCGGGATTTAGACATGAAGGCCTCTCAGAAGTGAAGGGTGAACAGCAAAGCCATCTAACCTCTATGTGCGGTGTAGGAAAACTGCAGGCTACTTTGCATGCTCCTTCTAGCAGGACCCATCTCCCCATGGCTGGCCTGAAAAGCACCTCTATGACAAATTGACTCCCATATGGGGTGAATACCAGCCTGGAGGTGCTCCAAACTTATGACCCAAAGCTGTGACATCTGCTTCCCAAAAAACCCTGTAAAACCACAGTGAGGTTTTGAGTCACAGCCTTGGAAGTTTCCCTTGCTTCCCCCAGTTCAAGAGAATGCAGAAATTCAGCCCAAGCTGAGCCCTTCTGTCCAGCCTGAGGTAGGAGCCTCGCACAAAAAGCCACTCAGATTTTGTCTCGCAGCTCCCTGCCTCTGCCACTGCTCTCCCCTGTGACACTCGTCAAGTCACTTAACCCACTTTTCCCAATTGCAGCCACTGCTTTCTGGGTGCCTTAGGACAGTGCAGGAGACTTGAAACGCACAAGCGCTCAGCACTTGCAGCACCCTGGAAGGGAGCCGAGCTCTGCACCAATTCAGGTGAGACCCCCCCACATGAGGTACCCCAAATCAGTGGTGAGAGGGACCCAGGGATGCCTGGCAGAGCTGTGCCCTGGCAAGGCTGGGGACAGAGCCCACGGAGGAGCAAACATCCCTGCTGTCTCAGCAGGGCTGGTGCAGCATGCCGGACGGAGAGCTGGAAGGCATGAGTTGAGCAGAGAGCACAGAGCCCAGCGTCCACGGCTGCTTGTTCCCCGTCCCTCCTGGGCCTGGCACCTGATTCAGGGCACAGATCCAAAAGCCTTGGAGAGGCTGTCTTTGACTCACTAAGACCCTGAGCTTCCAAAGGCAGCTTGAATGCTGGTGTTTCCTACCTGCGCAGGGCTGACCTTCTTTGAGTGCATATTTTGGCAGGTGACTGTCCCTCATGTACCTTCTGGCTCACTCCCTCCCTAGGCACCTCACTCCCAAAAGCACTACTCACAGCCTTTGCCATCTTCGTTTGCACAAAGTATCCCCCTGGCCTGCAAGCATTTCTTTTGGAGCTGCATGTTCTTTTTATATATATATATGTGTGTGTGTATGAATATATCTATATATGTAAATAAACAACTATTGTTTTAATTAGCCATTGTTTCAGAGCTCTGGAAACTGTTCTCTTCTGAAGACCACCCCGAAGGCAGAGATCTGTGTATGTTTGCAGCTTGGCTTCCTCCGAACTTGCCACTCAAGACCACTTTCTACACTACTCCAGAGCAGGCATATGGATGGCTGAGAAGGTAATGGAAGCAAAGGCCACAGCACAATTGCTTTCTACCTGTCCTGAGCTGGGATTTTTTTTTTCCTTGCCTTGCGCTGGGGCTATTTAGCCCTGATTTTTGACCTCATTCTTATAGCAGTGAAGACAATGAAGAGGCTGACAGGAGAGTCCAACAGACTTCGGGTCAGGACCTTGTTCAGGACAAACAAGCAGAGGTATTTCTTCACACACGTACATAATCACGTACATAATCACGTATTTAATGTGTGCAGCTAACTGCCACAGAAGGCTGCAGAGGTTCACACAAGAGTTCAGAAAGCAATTGGACAAATTCACGGAGGAGAAATCTAACAAGTACTAGCAGATACAGAGGTGCCACTTTTGGCTTTCTAAGCTGTGATGAGCCTCTTTACTGGACCTGGCAGAGTATTAAAGAGAAGCACCTATACAAGTTGGGTCCAGAATTATATTCTACAGGCATGCACCGTTGGCCTCTATCAAAGACAGGGCATGGGCTGATTCTCTTTTCATGTCTTGCACTGATGATGATGGAGGCTGAACCCACAGATCCAAGGAGGCAAATGGCCATGAAGTCGTTTGTGTGCTCTCCTTACATTTTCTAAGCTGGTGGTTTAGCAGCATCAGGATTGTATCTCAACCTAGTGGAGGAACTTATGGATCACCCATAATCCATCCAGACGGACATTTTCTGAGCATTTTCAACACAAATATAATTCCTTGGTAGAGGCTGTGCAAGCTGAGTTTCAGCCCAGAGCAAATTTATACAGCTGAGATCTAAATCCCCGTGAAAAATACCTCCTTCTTATGGAAATCCAGCGGCAGGGAGAGTTATGATGCCAAATTGGCACCATGGCCAAATAACAGGGAGCCTTATGAAAAAGGAAAAATGAGCAGGGGGTGAAGGGGGGGAGGAGCAGTAAAGCTCGGAATGGGGAAAGTTTCCAAGAAATCCACTCCTTGAGCCTATTGGATTTTTAAAGTAATATATCTCTATATATGTCCATGGCCCTTGTGCTTGGAGAAGATCCAGGAGAAGCAGAAAGAACTAATCAAACCTCAATGAGAGCTGTTAATAGCAGAAGGAGTGCCAGCGCAAAGGGGAAATTAAAACAGCAAACAGCAGATCTGAGAGGAAAAACACAAACGTTTGCTTTGTCTTCTTAGCACAAGAATGAAATAATAATTTAAATTAGCTGGCAACTAGTGTCAGGGCTGAGCTCTGTGGCTGCAGACCTGGATCCACACTCCGCCTGCATCTGTGCGAGAGGCCAAGTGAGACCTGTGCCTAGTTTCAGCCCGGTTCAGTGGGGCTAACATTGAAAGCACCTGCTTACTATAGCTGATCCAGACAGCAGCCAACCTTATCTAGTCCAAAGAGGGGAGAACCCAGCTTGTTCTGGACATGAAGGAGAGCCCTGTCTGGAGACATGTGTTTCAAGGCATAAGGATGCTCAGAGGCACAGCAGCGTGTGGCCCACCGTGGTTTCTGATGGAGTCTGCTCTGCACTGAAGCAGACCGAAGTCTTATGCTGCTGGTCATGACCAGCTCCCTGGGAACATCTGTAGCTTGTCTACGCTTTCGGTATTTGCAAGCAGTGGCCTCAAAATTTGGATCTGAGCTGTGCAATGGGTTTGCCGTGAACCCAAGGAAGCCTTTAGGTCTGAACCGGGCTGCTTGTGGGATGGAGGCTGTGGACGCAGATCCAAACTTACAGGCTCAAGCTCAGGTCTAATGCTTCCCTCTTGCTTCCACTGGGATCGGATGGGATGTCCCGAGAGCCTGCAAGCACAGCTGCGAACCCAGGCTGCCTGCGGGACACACATGACCACGGCCTGGCAAAGGCACACAACTCATCAGGCACCTTCCTTGCATGAGTTTGATGCTACAGTAGCACAGGCTGGGGGTTTAGCCGACTTTCATCAGCATGTAGGTGCCTAAATACCATTGGGTTAAATGAGAATTAGGTGCCCATATACCTCCAGAAACCTGGGCCTTTGTGGCTAAGCTCTGAACCTGAGTGCCTCACTCACTGCTTAGTCCAACAGATGTTATCAGCTTATCTGTGCTTGCCCTATCATCCACCGGACTGACAATTCTTGTGCCCAATAAATGGGGAAAAATAGCTTGTTCCCAGATTTTCCAGCACTACCCTCTCTCAGCTGGCCAAACTGCTCTCCCCACTACCCCTCCATTTGTCCTGTAACACCGCAGCTCACCTTCACATAGTCGTATTCACAGAGGTAGGATGACTCCAAGTCAAAATGCATGAAGTAGAGCTTGATTTTAAATCCATCAGGCACAGAAATATTCCATGTCATTTCCGAGTCACTTGGGTAAGAATCCGGGAAGTTTGGGGACTGTATCTCTCCAAACATATCTGTCAGCTCAATGGCATCTGCCACAGAAAGCAGAAAAGCACAAAATGACCAAGCCAGAGGGTACCTGGAAAACACACAGAGAGATCAAATGAAGCTCTTGAAGTGCCAAAACCTGTCAAGGGCTCAGTCTATTTTTCCAAGCAGGTCATGTAAGGCCTCATGGTCGAAACACTGGTATCTGACTCTATGACTGGGGACAGGTCCTAGATGCAACACCAGGGCAACATATGGGGCATTTGTGTCCGGGGTCTGCTCTGTACCAGCCTAAATGCTTGGCAAATATCCAGCTCCCTGACACCACAGTGTGGGGTGGAAAGTGCAAAATGGCTCCTGGCCTTGCAAGGAGCAGAGCTCCCAGATACATTCGTGTGGGCCGCTGCACAGGGCTCACTGGGAAGGGGATGCTGGGACCAAGGCTGGGGCTTGCTAGGATGCTTTTTAATGCAGGGCTCTGGGATGCGGCACAACCACCTCTCTCCTACTCCATGCTCCACAGAGGGGAGCTGGCGGGGGTCACAGATCTGGTGCGAGGTGCCGGGTGGGAGAGGAGATGCAGCGCTGCATTCCTGTGAGCAAATTCCATGCCAAGTTGCAGGGGGGCGGGAGGTAGCACGCAAGGACGGAAGAGCCTTGGGGAGGTGTGTAAAGCAGGTGCAACAAACAGCACGGGCCTCCCATCCAGCTCCAGACACCTTCAGGAGTTAAATGTTTCTAACACTTTCTGTGAACAGATAGCCATGGGCTAATGGCCCTCTGATGGGCAAATCTTCATTTAGCAGAAGAATGGACATAAGGGCACTTAATAAAGTAATGATGTTTTCTAAATCAGTATAATGAAAGCATCATGGCGGCAACAGCTTATTATTATTATTAATATTATTATTATTACTACTAGTACTGCTACTACTGTTTAGTTTCATCCTGCCAGATTGGGATTGCTGACTCTCACAGCACAGCTCTTCGCAACTGGGCAAGTAAAACCTAGCTTCGCTTCGCTTCGCTTCTCCTCTCTTCTCTCTATCTCAGGGTAGCACTCCCTCAGGTAGAGAAGCCCACAGAGGTGAAGATCCTTAGAGTTCTTTTGGGATCAAACTAGACTTCTAAAATTCTGACCCTAAAGAGTTTGCCACAGGTATCAACTTGTTTGTGTCAGAGGTGGGCAGAGGATCCAGGTAAAGCAGCAGCGGTCCAGCTGACCTCCCACCAACCCTGAGCTCCATTTTGCAGCATGAAAGTGAGCATAAACGCAGCATTTCTCAGTGCACAGGGAGGTGCACACAGCTCTGCCTGTGCTGGAGGTCTGAAAATGAAAGTTCATGCTATTGCATGGGACCTAGAATGAGGAACATACCTTATGCCCTTTATGCTCAGTGGAGTGCTCATAGGAAAAGAAGCATTTAGGAAATTAGAGCCATTAGAGAAGAATATTTCAGCTTTCAAAAATAGGTGCTAAGGCCTGGCAAAGACTTACAGGTGTGTACTGCAGTCGCTGGAACAACTCACATATATATCTACATACGGTTTCAAAATTTAGCTATGCTGGTGAGGAAATTGAAGCTATGTAAGTGGATTATTTTTAAACCTGTCTGCGTTCTTTTGAAGCCAGGACAGTATATTACTGGGGCTCATTTGCGTGGTGCCATCACTTTCCCCGGCTCTTGGTTACAAAGTAAAGTTAATGGGAGCTGAAAAATCTGGACTGATTTTTCTTTCAAGCAGAGTGAGGTTGAACATGCCTTTTTCTGACAGCTTGTCTGAAACCACAAAAATGTGTGAAGGGAAAATCTGTTTCTCTTCTGGTCAGAGTACATACACAAGGGCTAGATGCTCATCAGGCATAAATGAGTCTCACCTCCTTGACTTGAATGGGCCTTTCGCTGGTGCAACTCTTGGCTTTCTCTTTAAACAGAGGAAGTAAAGTAACATCAAACTTTCCCATGCCAGGAAAGTCTTATCTTCATGCGAAAGTGAAAACTGACCGCTGTGTGCCTAGAAACACGAGTCCCGTGCAGCACATAAAGCCGAACTCGCACCTTTGGGCGTGCGCCGCGCGCGTGGAGCGCGGCACAGCAGTAATCTCACGCTCCCTCGCTGCGAACCGAGCAGCCCGCGCCAGCCGCGAGCGCCTCGCAGCCTGCTCGCATTCCTCCGCCGCGCTGGCACACAAGCCGAGCTGCAGCGCGAAGTCGAGACGTGAGCAATGCCTTGATCGCGCGCGCAGACGGGGAAGCCGAAGCCGCGGTCATCAAAGGGAAGCGCTCTCCAGAGGGATCGCCCCTCTCCCCAGCCTGGCCTGGAGACAACAGCACGCGGGACCCCAGGGTCGGTTCATCGGGTAGGTACTCACCTCATTTTGCAGCTCGGAGAGTTTGCCGGTCGTTTTGGAGCGCGAGTTGTTTGTTTGTTTTGGGGGGATGGCTTTGCCTCGTTCCAAGCGCTCCACTGTCCGTCTTATCTTTGTGCCGAGATTTGTGAGCGTGTGAGCGTGTATGTGTGTGTGTCTGGAGCTGTCTGGCATTTTCCATGCAGGTCACGCCTTCCCCTGCCTGCAACGGTTCCCCACATCCCCACACGCACACACGCACACACACAGACCTGACGGCATTGAAACTGTCCTCCCCTCCGCCAGCCCGCTCCCGCAGTCCCTCCTCTCGCTCCGTAGGGCTGCCCGATGCACTTCAGCAAAAGCCACGGGATTCAGCTAAGTTTTTGTCTTTCTTAATCTCCCGACTGTGAGTGTGTGTGTGTGTTTGTGTGTGTGCCCACGCATATTGTGTTTTCTCTTTTTTCTACAGGCTGCTTTGCCAGATGGCTAAAATTTGCCTCTCAATAGGGACAGGGGCTCCAGCAAAAACAGAAGGCAAGAACGTGTGAAAAAAACCTGTGCAAGAATAAATAGCTTTAGATGTGCAGCTGGGATCTATGCTCCGACTTCATTTCAGCTTCTCTGCTCAGCGCTGAGGCTGCCCAGGGTTTGGGACTTCAGTCTGGCTTCCAAGTAACTTTCTAATTGTGACAGTCTGAAAAAAACTGAGCCAGTTTTCACCCTCCCGCAAAGCTCAGGAATTGCTGGATTCAGCATTTTGTTCCTGGGCAAAAGAGCAGCATTAGGTGCTGGCTCTGTTTGGGATTGAGAACTTTAAACACCAGAGCTACAGGTTTTGATCCTGACTCCTTCCTA